AATTTTTATCAAGATTACATAATTAAAGAAGATTATTAGCGGAATGATAATTTTTTTTTTTTTTTCCGGGTTTTCCGGCCCCGGGGAAAAAAAAAAAAAAAAAAAAAAAAAAAAAAAAACTTGGATGAAAATAATCTTGTTAAAATATTTATCAAGATTACATAATTAAAGAAGATTATTACCGGAATGATAATTTTTTTTTTTTTTCGATCGGTTGAGATTCATCCTCCTTGTAAGTTTAGCCGGTAGCGGAATAATTAATAGTTTAATTCGAGTGCTCGCACCCGAAGGTACGATCGCGCGCAAATATTTGCGAAAAGGGGAGCGATCGGATTGCAATAGGTTTGGTTCTGATTTCGATTTCGATTTCGATCTGGATCGATCGTACGTTACAGTCGAATTAACGGAAAGCCGGACCAGGATGCAAGGATTACCATTATTTTCGTCCCGTACAAATCCAGCAAATCCGTTCTACCGTACAAATATTCGCTTTCCCGTAACTGCCCAACCATTTGTTCATAAATATTGATACGTTTAAAACCTCGAGCCAAATGAGCCATTTTGCGTTTTAATTTCTCTTCTCTCTCCCTCTATCTCTCTCTCTCTCTCTCTCCTCTTTCTCTCTCTATTTGGATCTCTATTCTCTACAATATTCCACAATCGTACTATGCGACATCGATATCACGATAATTTGCATTTAATTGATTCGTATATCTAGCTTTCCGAATCGATTCGCTATTTATACTTCGAATGATTAAAATACAATCAACCGCGCCAACAGTTTTGCACGACAGATCAGATCGTTTTAACGCTTTCTACACTGTATTTTCACGTTTAAATTCCATTTATATCTTCCATCTCTCTCTCTCTCTCTCTCTCTCTTTCTCTCTCTCTTTCGACAAAATCGTTTTATTTCTCTTTATCTATGTATCCGTAACAATTTCTCAGTCTGTGAAAACAATCTATCTTATATTTGAATCTTTAATATTTTCATTTTTCGTTACAATTACTATTTCGATATTTCTTTTCTTTTCAATCTTACATTTTCCTCGATCAAATGTAATTTACCTTCGCAGCTTCGAATCGTATCGCGTAGATTTACCGTCGTTCCTCGCTATAAGGATAATATTTTTCACATTTACTTCGCGGCATTTCTCTTTCTCCAGACCGTGATTTTCCTTCCCCAACGACTTATCTATATTAAATTTACTTGTATTAGAGCGCCAAGCAAATTCCATTCTTTTTCCACATTTTTCACTCCCGTGTTTGCCGCTCCCACGTGATAATAATAATAGTAATAATTATTGTTTTTTTAAAACCAACTTTTCATAAATATCGTCGTGTATATAAATGTTCGGATATAAACTGTATAGATATAACGTGATTTTTAATTTAGAAAAAGAATGTGTAAATGTCACCATATACATACATGTACGTAAATAAGTAGATATATTTGAATCGAAAACCTGTTCGTTGTACGATTCATTGTACGCCGCTTACACCGAGTCTTCCGCCCCGTATACCGAGAAACTTTTAGCAAAGAACGAGACTGACGTAAAGCCAAACCAGATTGGTTTACATCTATGACCACTTCGCTTCGAATTTCCTTTGATCGTGTACGATCTACCTTCGAAAATCTTTCGCGCTTCGTTCGTGAGCGAATAAAGCGCTCCTTTTCCGATACCTTTTCTTGGCCGAATCAACTTTGTAACGCGCTAAACCGACGAATAAAACTTTTACGAGTGTTTATCCGATCGCAAAGTTATCGTTAGATAATAATAGGAAAATTCGTCTTTTCGATCGATAAATATTCCTACGAACGAAACCGATCAATTTTCACGATTGATACAAAAATTAACTCGTATAATATAGTAAGTTAAATTGGATTTTCTTGTGTTCGATAAATTTACGTAGAATAATATATTAAATCGTTAAATGAATGGAAACGAAACGAAACGTGTGTATTTATTTATTATTTATAATTACATCACGAAGATGTAAAGATGGAATGTTGCATTTGCCTAGGACAACGTGCCACTAATTAGTACAGTGGCATTGCTCGACGAAACCTTCGTGGTCCTCTCCTCTGGACTCTATTCAATCCGCTTCGAGTTTACTATGACTACCATTGTCTGTTCAAACAATCCCTTGTGATTAATTCGGAACATTTTCAGTGAAAACTATGACAAACTTGTGAATAAGCGAACAAGAATTCGAGTGGAAGCATCGCGATAATCAAGATTCCTTGCAATTATTGATTTGATTATCGGCAATGTTTTTTTTTTTTCAGAAAGAACAAAAATGTCAATATATAATATTGTTAAGAAATCAAATACAATCGTGAATATCATTTGTATCTTTATAATATATCAATTTTTTGCATGAAATTCATTTGATAATTAAACTCATAATGAACCGATAAACGCTTGCTTTGCGCGACGATGCAAACGAATGCCGATATCGTGATATTGATTGGCCGCATCCTTCGTTAATAATTTTATTTGATCGATATCTGCACACGAATAAATATGACAAATACAAAAATTTAATCAACCGTGTTATGAAAATCTATACGTATATATCTATTAAATGTATAACATCACTGATTAATTGTCTCTTAGTTGGTCAATGATATTTGATCAAACAATAAATTATCAAATGTAATAAGTTATGTACCATAAATAATATCTTTGGAAATAAAATTGATAATACAAATATACGGATATAGAGATTCGTAATTTCTCGTAAATTAATCTCTAAGATAGCCTCTCTAAAATAAAAAAGTTTTGAAGAATGAAAAAATTATTTTAAAACTATCTTATAATAAGAAAATAATTTAAATACTTTTAAACTCGAAACGTACATCTATATTTTTTACTATACATATCACGTAGTACCACTTGTGCAATCAAGAAGTTATTAAAGAAGACAGAGACGCTATGGAACGATTATTTGAATTTGGTTTATATTCTTTGATGTAAATACGTATTTTTTTTTGAAAGTGTTACAAAGTGAAATAAAATATAATATAAATATCTTAATTCCGTTTTATCAATATTTGTCTTTTAATTTCAATACAGATTATATAATAGATAAAGATATCGCGGAATAAAAATGAATTTCTAATTTGACAATAAATAGCGTAATAAAAACATGTTGGATGTAAATTATAGAAAAATGGAAAATTGCGGTTTATTTTTAGGAATGATGATAGCGTATCCCAAATGGACCGTTCTTTATTAACGAAAGGAAGGGTTGAAGTTAGCGTACCGGCAGAAAGCCGTAGAAAAGTTTCGAATATGCATGGCTATGCAATTCGTGCGATCCCTAGAGGCGCAAAAGTTGAGCGGATAAAAAGCAGGCTTAAAAAGAAAGAAAAGACGAATGACGAGAGGGAGACAGAAAGAAAAAGACGAAAGAATGTTTCGCGCGAAGCAGTCGACCATTTATTTTCATTCGTCTACCAAAGGACTGAAACTTTTCGAGTCCCTACAAAAGCAATTTTTGGTTAACGATACGAACGCGTTACTATTATTCGTTTTATCGTTTGTTATAATTATACTTGATATTTATACGGATATAATACATATATACGTAAACATATATCGAGTATAAAGTAGATTATTTAAATATTTTGGAAATGATTTATTGTTTAAAAAAATTTAAAGCAAGAATTCAAATATTTTCAAGAAGAATAATTTAATGTTATCATGTAGATGCATATGATGATCATTTTGTAGAATTATTGAATAAAATTAATAAATATTGATATGAGGAAGAAGAATTGACCGATCAATTATGCAAATAAGAATCTGACGATTATAAGAAATAGAATATATATATATATATTATATTTTTTCTTTCTCATAATTATAATATAATATTTCTATCGCATTGCTAATATTATTATTATTATTTGTTTCATTATTCATAATTCCTTAAATTTCATGATTTTTCTCATATTGATTTTAATCTTTTTATAGACACGAATTACAATACAAATATTTGATTTTTTTCTAAAGATAAAAATTAATTGCATTGATTTAAAAAATATCGATGAAACTTTGATAAAATAAAAAATGCAATCACTTACGTAGAAGCGAAACGGAGCGTAAATGGTAAAAACTCGTACGATTAAAGACAAGGGCACGTGCCCGTTCTCAAAACACGTGGTTCACTGATGTATGAAAACAAGTTCACGAATATCTTTCTCTTCACACGATTAAAATCACAGTTCTACGGTAAGTACACATATTATAAGGAACACTTCACCACGATACATTTAAATTCGTCAAAAATGATATTAAAAGAAATCACTTCGAAAATAAGTTAGCATTACAAAAGTCAATAATCACATATATTTGCACATTTTTACATCCGATATAAATTTATATGCATACACATGAGAAAAATATCGATAACGACGACTACTCCCAGCATCGAGACCTTGAACTTTTTAAAACGAACGTTCATCGTATTAAAAATCGTATAAAAAACATACGCATAAAAGAAATATCAAAGATACAACGACATAGAAATAGAAATATTTAACAATAAGATAATACGTAACATTTAAAGCTGTAATCAGTCTAGCGAATAGTAGAGAGTTGGAGTTGGAGAGCCAATGCTTATTGGTTCAAGGTAAAGTGGAACGCACGCGAGATACAAGTGTGTAAGAAAGACAGCATGAGCACGTGACACGTGAAACGCACGTTTCGTTGAAATCACGCGATTTCATCCCCACAGAAACGAAAAGTAACTCCAGTTTAATGAAATAAAGAAGAGAAAATTGTGGAACGAATGAAAGGAAAGAAAAGAGGACGATGAATATCGGTGAGAAGAAATGATAAAAGGGAAGTAGCACTAGCAATCCAGTTGCTTGGTTGGTGTGCGTCTGGAAAGCGAATGCGGACAACAAAGGTGAAAGAGAGTAAGAGTGAGTGAGAAGAGAAAGAGAAAGAGAAAGAGAAAGAGGAGAGTAGTTCTTTTGTAACGGTTACCTCGTGTGCCCGAGGATGCTGATGATTGCAGTGACGATGCTCGAACATTCCACACACAAAATCCACACCACACACCACGATGATGACAACGAGTAGCAATACGACGGTGCCGCATTGCATCTTCAACCGCACTCGAGCCGCCATCACGGACGACGCTCGCACTCGCAAAGCATGACACATACTGAGCGCTCTTGCCGACTCCGCGCATTTATATAAGCGTCGCGGTACCCAGCACCGCGCCACTCACGTTCGATACCTAGAGCGCGGCAGACGCTCTCTGCTGTCGCCGCGATAACCCCCTCGGGAGTAACCTGTAAAGAAATCGAACGGTTACTCTCATAAATGTTATCAAATTATCATTCTCTCCTATACTTCTTTTTAACACTATTTATATCATTTTTTAGCGGTTTTAATTTTTTATAGCAGAGTATAATGATATCTCATTAGATTGTAATTTAAAAATTTCATCATGTGTTTATTTATTTACTTATCCTGAAGTATTATATTTCCTTACATTTTGTATCATTTTTACAATGTAATTTCATACAAAAATTAATATGATATTTTTATATCTCGATTAAATGAGAAATTCAAATACATAATTTATAAAATAAATTTAAATATAATGATAATGATAAAAAAAATAATAATAATTAAAATATTAAAATGTGAAACGTGATAATTTTTATAATTAAAATAAGTGTGTAATAGGAAAAAAAAATCAACACTCATTCATCAAGAAATAAGAATATTTTATTTAAAACACGTTATATCATACAAAACGAATCACAAAAGTAGATATTTTTCGTTTATATTATAAAAAATATCTATCTGTTGTAAATAGATAATATGCATAAATTTTTTACAGTGTATCCTTGTTTTAATTTCTACATATTTGTGCATACCACTTTTTGCTTTCTGCACAATTGCCACTAACACAATGAGGACAACGTGTCAAGAACATGGGACTTAGAGAATTATTTGATTTAAGATGAGAAACTACAATATCTGCCAAAGCATTTATAAATGTAGGATGATCATTAGGAGCAGCAGTTCTCCTTATTTTATCAATGCCGAGCTAAAGATAAAAAAAGATAGAAAATTTCTCTTCGTAATTATTTACGGATTATATAACGCGACACTTACTTCTTCTGCTAATTCTTTACAATACTCGATATCTAATTCATGAAGAGTTTCAATATGTTCGTTAACAAATGCTACTGGTACTAATATAAAATGTTTTTTCCCTTGTTTTACATAAGCTTTTATGGCATCATCGGTAAAAGGCTCCAACCAAGATACTGGGCCAACCTAAATACAACACATTAATATACTGTACAACGTACAAAAATTAGAAAACGACATATTTAATATAACATAATATTTATATATTTAAAAATAAAAAAAGATATGTATTTTTCTAAAATCTAAAATCTATTAAATCAGAAATTTTAATTCGGAAAATTAATGCGTAATGAAAAAAAGATTTAGAAAACTGTTTTTTAGAAAATAAAATATGCAAAATAATTTCATTAATTTTTTTTTCCATTTTATCGATAGATTAATCTATACCTTTGATTGCCATACTAGTTTGTATGGGTTACAATATTGTAACTTTTCCATTACTAAAGCAACTGTACCTGCTACTTCAGATGCATAAGCATCCCCCCTAGATACAGCCTAAAATACAATACGAAACAATCATCGTGTTAATATTAAAATATTAATTTATTTTTCGTACTAATACGTAACCTTCAATGGTAGCGAATGAGCTGAAAATAAAATTATAACATTGCTTCTTATATCGTCGGGAAATAGAACTAATTCTTCCTTAATTCTTTCTGTAATTGTCTCTATGAATAATGGATGCGTTGCCCATCTATCTATTACACTCCATTTCATGTTAGAAGGTAATTGTCTGTAAATTATGAATGCAGTGTAATAGCATTTTTGGGCTAAGCAAAACTATTATTATTTTATTTTCATTTTAATCTCAACGTAATTTCAAATATAATTAAAAAAATTAAATTAGAATAATTATAAACCAAAGTTTACGATGATAAAATGACAGCAAATTTTTTTAACATTTTTCATTTATTACCGAAATACTATAAAAGATTTGAGAAAAAGGATTTCTAAAATAATAATATAATAAAATTATTATAAGAACATTGAACAAGTTTCTCGATTTTTTTAAATTAAAATATACTGACGCATATATTCTTTATAATCTTTATTTTTGCAGTCGCTGAAAAAAGGTTTTCGGCAACTGATTTCCTCATTTTCTCCCTCAAATATAATCCTTAGCGGACAGGATAGAGGGAAATGATGAATACATTTAAGAAGGAGTGTATTTTAATCTAGAGTAATACATACTCTAAAAAAGCTCAGATCTTTCATCAAGAATTCCAAGTTCTCGATATAAAGGAAATTTTTTCGAATATTTTGTATCAGACATTTTATAAAACGTAATTCTATCATTAATCATTGTAAAATATTTTTAAAAAATCTAGATGAAATGTTAAGAGATGAGATCTAAAATGAATGTCCTTGAGACATTGTTATAATGTTTGAGTTATATTGTTATAATGTTTTTGAGTTATTTCGTATAATTATTAAAATAATTAATTATAATCGAGTAATAATTTCATTCAAATCGTAAAAATCGAAAATTTTTTATTTTTTTTTTCAAAAATTAAAATGATAAATTATTGAGATATTTATTAAAATATTAAAAAAATATATTATTTGTTTAAATATTAAAAAAAATATATTTAAACAAAAGAAATAATAAATACAATACAAAGAAATATTTTATTATAAGAGATCTAGATAGTATCTGGATAAGAAAAAATTATATGACCTCTTTTCAAAATATCAGTGACCAAAATATAAGTTACATGAATGACTATGTTTACAAATGTTTTAAATTTGTAAAATTGTCATTGTTTAGTTTTTTTTGTATATACATTTTTAAATAGAATAATGTTATCAAACATCATAATACAGATAAATTATCATTAAATAATAATTTAAAAGTCAATAAAATATAAAATTCTTATGACTTAAAAAATAAAGATTTAATATAATTATGTATTAAAGAAATTGTATAAAAGAAATCAATTTTTTAAAAATAAATACTTATAAGTCTTATTGAAATATGCTGTCACTTTGACATAGATTAATAATCCTATTTGAAATAAAATATACTTATATTCTTGTACATTTTTGTAATTATTGTATTAGAGAATATAAAAATTATAAAAATTAGTTTTAATAATTGATATCATTTCATTAATTTTTTGAAATAAAAAAGAAAATTTAAACTTATATAAATTTTATACTAAAAAAAACAAAAAAATACAAATTAATAGAATATTCATTCATTTAAGAATATAAATATATATAGGTAAATATGAATCTATTTATTATATTGTTAAAATTATAAAAAATTAACTACCTGTTTTTATAATACTTATATATTTCAATAAAACTTGATCCACTTGTAGCACAACAATATTGTGGATATTGAGAAAAAATTATTGTATGTTCAACACCATCTCTAAAATAAGAATATGTACATATTCTTCAAACAAAGATCATTTGTTACATTTTATATTAATATACAATTACATTGTATATTTATATTAAAAATTCATTTTTATTCAATAATAAATCAATATCCTTACTCTTCTATCTTTTGAAGTGTATTCTCAGTAAGAGGATTAGCATAACGGAATGCAACATAATGTTTATGAGGTGCTGTTTTTGGTGAAATTTTATCCAATTTTTCACACAAAAGTTTGCCTTGTTTATTTGTCCATTCTAAAATAGGAGATTTACCTCCAATTTCTTCATATTTTTTTTGTACTTTAGGTGTACGAGACTTTGCTATCCAAGGTCCTAGTCGACTGTAATATATATTGTCTAATAGAATTTTGATCTAATGCTAAATGGATTTCTATAAATTATTAAAACTTATAATTAAACCTTTGAAATGGTAGTTGAATCATATCACGATCTGTCATTATACGTAATAAATATTCATGCACCTCTTCAATTTTACTAGGACCACCCATATTTAACATTAAGATTCCTGTTTTTGGTTTAATATTATTCATTTGATTTAAAAATACTGTGGTAACGAAATGACGATAAGACAAAATGGACAAATTTGTACATTGTCTTCCTAAACAATAAGATACAAAGATATATTTAGCATTTTTAAAATAAAAATATAAATACTAAAAATAAAAATTTAACAATCAAAAATTATAAATGAATACAATGAAAATATTGGTTTCAAATGTATCTTATACAAAAAATAATTAATAAATTAAATGTTATTAAATGACTTTATATTATATTTTTTCATATTATTGTAATGATTTATATATGCTGTGTTTACTATTAAAACTATAACTATATTTTAAATCTATTTTTCTATATTTGTAAAATCTATATATATATATATATATATATATATATGTATATATAATAAGTATAAAATATATTAAGTATATTTTTTTACTTACCAATTTGGAGTGTATTTATCAATTTACCGAACATATTTAACAATAATTAACACTTTTTGGAAAAAATAATGAATATAATAGTATATATCAAATACTTTAGCTACTACAATTACTGCACAATCACGCTTATACAGTAGATATATGTAATATATCAAATGTATATAGGTTAGGTTCAAAAGTGAGGTTACGCTACGCCAGTTTAATAACGTTTCATATGTATGATGTGATTACACTTTTCGCATCAAGTGTTAAAATTTTCGAAAGGCATTTTTAGTATAAATAAGTGATTTAATAAAAATACACCAGGAAGCTAAAATTTAATATATTTAATAAATAACACAACAATTCAATTATAATCTTCAAATATAATTAAAATAAAATTATGACAGATCAAAATATTGAAGAACTCGGACCATCGGATTTAGGTACACTTGATTAGTAAGTAATACGTACCGTATTCGTAAATATGAAACACTCGATAAGCATTACTTTATAACACGATTATGTTTTAGTTGGGAAAGGATTTATTCGGAAGAACTTGATAATTTTAGGGAATACGGAGATATAGGCGAAATATGGTTTGGTAAAAGCAATACACTAAAAGTCATACGGTAAGTTATTCGGATAATACGCGAAAAATTTATGTAACAACACGAAAGATAGATGTGTATAACACAAGCAATAAACTTGCACATAAACTAGTGGTGCTATCTTTCGTAAATTTTAGTTATTATGATCTTGAGGTTACCGAGAAGGTAATGTCTTCAAATTATATTTCAAATTATATTTCAAATCAAATAAATAAATTTATTTAAATTTATTTTTATATAACAAATACTTGTAATAATTTTAATAAAATCTTATATAAAATATTTAATAATTTATTAATTGTTATATAATATTAGCGTAGTACGATTTATTTTGTGAACATATATAAATACTTTTTTTTGTAAATATATAAATACATTCTCTGTTAAAAAATATTTTATATATTTAATATTTCAGTTGGATTAACACGCAATTAAAACTTAATAAAAATGATAAAATAATTGACATAGGATGTGGAAATGGAATGACATTGATTGAACTTGCAAAGCAAGGTTTTGAAAAATTGATGGGTATAGATTATTCGCAAAAAGCAGTTGATTTAGCTCATGAAGTATCGAAGGAAAATAATGTGTCGCACATTGAATTAAAGGTTTGCGATATTCTAAATTCTCAAGATTTGAATTTACCGACAGACTTTAAATTAATACACGATAAAGGAACTTACGATGCCATCAGTTTAAATCCGGAAGATCCAGCATCGAAACGTCAAAAATACATAGAAAATGTATACAAAATTCTATTACCCTCTGGTTACTTAGTTTTAACTTCATGTAATTGGACTAAAGAAGAAATACAAAAACATTTTCAAGATTGTAAGTTACATATATTGAAAAATATAATTGAAAACATTTGAAATTTTTTATATAAAAATTTTCATATAATTAAAAAAAATGTTTCGATTATATTTAATATTATTAAATATATTGTGCAGAAATAAATAGCGTTTTTTGAATAATTTATTATTTAGAACATTGTACATACTACAAATTTTGATATTGATTCATGTTTATTATATGATATATTATTTTAATTCATTTTTATTAGTAATAATATTTGTTATAACATTAATACTAACTAATATAACTATAATATTTTAGATTTTGATATCTTACACGTGCTTCCCGCAGATACATTTATTTTTGGTGGACAGAGCGGAAACACTGTAACGCAATTAGTTTTACAAAAGAAATAATAAAAGATTCGATTAACAAAATATATGTATGAAGTTTTCTCTTTACTTTCCTTTTAATAATTGACTTATGTATAATTTATAATTAATATTAAAAAATATACATAATATATAATAAATATATAGTACATGTATTTAGAATACGGAAAAGTTTATTCGTGCATATTTATATTAATGATACGTTTACGTAATATAGTTCAAAAATAAAAATAAGTTAAAAATTATACTATTATCAATTTACAAATATTATAAAATATTATGCATTATAATCAAAATAAATGTTGTTGTTAAATCGTGTTTTAAAAAATTCTCATTAACATAAATTATAATTTATTTCATATAATCGTTGATATTTAAGGCATTTATTGGCATGTTCAAACTTTATATATATATATATATGTATATCTATATCTTACATTATGCTATATATATATATATATTTGCTAAACGAATAGATAATTTCAATTTATAAAGCTTGCCAAATTGAAAATTCAAAAATATTTTATTTCATACATATTTTATTCTACTTGATAAAACTATAATGCTAACTATAATAAATAGTATCGAAATCAAAATAATATTAAAATTTTATATTTTTTTTTTTATAATTTCAATTTTATAAGAGTTACAGATACAAATATTGATAAACAAAAAAAGAAAAAATAATTGATATAATACAACAATAATCTAAATAACATAACATGTATGATATAATTATATATATAATTATGTACATTGTAAAAGTTTCTAATATGATTTTCAGTTCAAATGAAATTGTATAGAATTATAATATGCATATTTTAATATTTTATAAAATTTCATTAATTTTTTAAATTAATATTTTTTTACTATAATTGGAAATTGATCGATAAAATTTGAAATATGGATTTTAAAATTTTTTATAATATTATTTATAATATTTGAAATATATTGAATAGATCTAGAATAGATGTTTTGTGGATTTTCTATTATTTTATAATGATCTATTACTTATTGTAAAATCGTAAATATTATAATTCATATAAATATTTAGAAACATAAGAATCAATAATAAAATGTATAATATAAATTACAGATTAAAATTACGATAAAGTGTACGGAAATATTTTGCAAGATCCTATTGCGATATTTTAAAATAAAATTTATAAAATTATATTTTATAAGAATTTTATAAGATATTTTAAAAGAAAATTATTCGTATATTATATATTTATATTCGTATATGAATTACGAAGTAACATTTTAATTACGTCAATTTCAGAATAAACAATTTGACGATACATTAAATTCTTTGCTGTAGAATAAAATATATAATTTAAAATTATCTAGAACAAATATACTAATTTTCATTTTTTTTTTTACAATTCTTTTTATCATATAGAGCAGTATAAGATTTATTTATACATTACAAAAGAAATCACATTATTTGAAATAAAAAAAATTGCAAGTTTGAAAAAATTAGACAAATTAGATTATAGATATTCTTGGTAATTGATTAGAATTTGAAGATATAGAAAATATGAAAAGCTATCGAATTATAAATATTTTTTGCGCATAGCTCGAGCATATGCTTTCTTAATATTCTTAAAATGATAATTAAAATACGTATCTTCGCGTAAAATATACCAAACATATATTTTTTTTTGTACAATATCATATTTTTTGATGATTGAAAATTTAAAAATTTACCATACATAATTTTAAAATTAATACAATTTTTTTACATTCATTTAAAATAATATATTTCAATTGTAAATGATTTATATAAAACTAAAATTATGTTTTACAATAATTAAACTAATTAAGAGATATAGCGTGTGAAATGCAAGAATAGATATACCACCTGTGAAAAAAATATTTAAATCGTAATTAAAAACTTCTATTCACATATATGATATACTTGTGTATTTAAACTTATTTAAATTTATTTATATTAAAAAAAAATTATTATATAAAAAAATTAAAAGATAAATTTAGAACTTGATTGCAATAAAAAATCAAACAAAAAGATGACATACCATTGCAAACTAAAGGATTTTCTTCATAATATCCTTCTTGACAATAGCAGCGTTTTCCCAAGGTAACGTTTAGTTGTACGCAATGTGCCCCATTAATGCATTCAGAATCATTGTTACATGAAAAATGTAACGCTACAACAGAAATATATTTTTTTAATATAAAATACTTTAAGGATACGAGGAAAACAATTCGAAGATTAAAATTTTCACTTCTTCTTTATCAAAGAAAAAAATATACAATTTGAAATTTAATTTTAGCTTTTACAAATATAATTAAATTTAAAATTTTTACTTAAATTATTAAAAAAGTTATTGTATAGAAAATTACATACGCATATTAGATAAAATTATCTATTATATTTTATATAATATTATTATTTTGGAAATCAAATCTTGCCGGTTAAAATCAAATTTATATCTGTTCTTAATATATATATACATCGTTATATACCAAATATACCGTATCAAATTGCCATAAAAGCTCAATGCGTTTTAACTCGATGGTAACACGCAATTTCACACAAATATAATACATAATATTCTCAACATCGATCAATTTTTAACCTTTGTAACAAAATTACGTGACAATTTTATCTGATATCGTCTAAAATTCTTAACAGAATTATATCAATTATTTTTAACTTAAGTAATCAAAATTTTCAAATTATTTTTGTTTTTTCAATTGACGAGAATATTTAACTATATTTGCATTTTTAAAAGATGTGTCTATTTTCATGTTTGCACTGTTAAATAACGAATGTTGCGTATGTAAGGAAATCAAATTGGTAGTGGTGTATGTGATAAACTGCAATGATATTCACAAAGGTTTTCAATTTGCATAAATAACCACAGTGCTGGTACCAATACATATTGCAATAGAACACGAGAGTATATGCAAATGATAGTACAGTTTCTTATGTTCTGTTCAATTTGTTTCTTCAAAAATAAAGATTATATTCGGTATTTCTTCCAAATACACTCCGATACTCAATCTTCGATCGATATATCGAAATTTATAATATAACTATTTAAATTATATATATTTGGCGTAAAAATGATACGTTGTTAAAGTTATATTTAAAATTATTACCTTTGAATTTGTTAATACACGCGCCGTTAAGAGGTGCGGAATAATCTCCGCAAAGGCAACGTGTCCTTCCGTCTCGAGGATCCGCTATACATGTCGTATTTTGAATTCCAGCGCAATCAGACTCCAACTTACATTCCCGAGCTCTCCCAACTAAATTTACGTGATCGTCAGCATTAATCAAAATTTGTTATCGCATAATCTTGTTTTATTCGATAATACGAAAACGCGTGATAAAAATTAATAACGATCAATGAATCCGAAACCCGAAGATCGTAAATTACGGATACGATGTGACGAGCTTTTGAAAATAGGAATCGGACAAACCTGGTGTAGGCGATGGATGAGAATTTTGATTCGAGGTTTGAGGATTGGTTTTGCCAAAAGTCGTAAGAGCCCAAGTAGAAGATGGCGATACGAAGAACACCAATAAAAGAAACGTTGCAAACATTTGAAAACTTCTCGTCTTCTTCATTTTCTACTTGTTGCAACTACGATATATATTTAAAATCGGTGAAGATCGGAAGAGATTAACCGCACAGTTGATTCATCGATCACTGTATCCAGATATAAAATTAAGCGATAAAATTTCGAAATGAAAATCACTCGCTTTTCTTCATTTCAAAAAGTATCAATCCCAATTTTCTTTGCGTTGCAAAGAAAAAGTTTCTTCTCACGAGTTTTTATATTATATATTTCGATGTATTTGCACTAATATTTAAATTAATGATATGATTATTAGCGTTACAAGCGATTAACTAATCTAAAAGATGTCGAAGAAAAATTTGCACTAATTTTTATTTGAAGGGAATACTATTATGTTCTATTCTAGAACTGCGTGTTACAAGGACGTTGGAGAGCCTTTTAAACCTTTAGTACACCCCCACCCTGTGTATCCTACGTGCTGCCACCACCAAAGCAGAAAGTATTCTACACCAAAACGTAGTTGCTTACCACCTCCTCGAACAAAGAGTTCGAACTGTGTTTAAAACAGTTGCTTTAAGTTTCGATCGTAGTAGGAGTTCTGCTCGGAAAAAACAGTTCCGTGCTGGAACAAAGTATCTTAACTTTAACATTGTCACGCCATATTTTATTTTCACGCTTTTGCGAAACAATTATTCGTTATATCGTACAATTTTTTGAATAAAAATATTTTTTTTTTTTTACAAATATTTCCTACATTTCTATATTTAAAAGATACTTTTAAATGTATATAATCATTGATATGAGAAAGAGCAATTAAATCAAAATCTGATCAAAATTAGACATAATTCGATATCGATTTATTAATTTCTTAAACGAATAAAATTACTCCCTTAGCCATTGTAAATCTAATCTAATCATCATTCCTTCAAATAGCTTTATTCCTTAAAATATTTACATTGTTACATTTGTATGTATTTGTAAAAAATATTTTTAATATTGTCATTATAATTTTATATTTGATATTTCAATCAAGATTAGGTAATAAATGCAAAATATTCAAGAGTTCGTTTAAAGCAACGAATTTATCTTTTATACGTATTTTTTTCGTTGTTATCTTCGAATAAATAAGCTTAAAAATTTAATAATATTTTTTAAAACTGATGAATTTCGTACTATTTTTGCAATGCTGTGTCCAGTCGATATCGCTTCGATTAGATTTTTTCCAGCTAAATCTCTTTTCGTCGAATTTCTCTGATCAAAATGATATGTAATTCCAGTAACCGTGAAATCATTTTTCATAAAACTCACGTAATTGATACGTCTTTTTTTTTCTTTTTCCAAAACAGAAAATAATATATCTTCATTAGAAATTACAAAACTAATGGATAGAATAATTTATTGTATTTGACAAATATTATTCGAATAATCTATAGTAAAGTTTAATTTAATCAAACTGTACATGATGAACGTGAAAAAAAATCACAAAGTTCATCACTATTCCAAATAACTCGTGCACGAAAAATCGTGTTTCGTTTTACACAGTCACGAAACTTTAACGGTCAAACAACTCTGCTATCTATTGGAAAATCAAGTTTCACCGAACACAAATTATTTAGATAGAGAACTAATATTTTGAAAAAATATGATTAAATCACATTTAAAATATGCGATATATCTAATAATTAAAAAGTTGTTAAAAACCTGTTAATAAAAACATATATGTTTGAACATGTACTTTTCGTAATTAATTTACCAATATTTTATAAAGTAATTTTCGAAGAATGTGCTTTTGCTTTTTGCGTACGCGTTGTTATCTCGTCACAATGATCGTCTTTCACGTTTATCATATCGATTTATAATGCATTTAAACTTTTTTACTAGAAATAAAGTATTCGGTGATCAACTTCGACTTGAAATGAGTACCCGAGTATCTCGCCTAGTTTGCCAATTTGATAAATTCATGAAACACGTGTTGATGAATTGCTCGTTCGCAAAGAATTTTATTTCAACAATCGTGTACATGAAAATTCTAAAATTTTTTGCGTAATCTTTATGCATTAAATCCGATACGTAATTGTCGTTTAAATAGTTAATAAAATTATAAATTTTATAAAAAAAAAAAGAAAAATTTATTCGAAATGATGAAGCATTTTGTTGAACTCTTTGCATACAATTATACTCGATTCGTTTACATACAATTTATAATTGTATGATAACGTACATCGATAAGATTGATGTACAAGTATAATCAAAACACGTATACGAAAGCTGAAAAATTTATATCATTGCTTCCACTACATTATAATTTAAATTTACAGAAGAGTGTCTTCCTGCACGCTAGGTTTATCGTATTAGCTTGACGCATCAATTACAAACAAATTGTCGACATATCACGAAGATTTCGTAACAGTAGGATTTTTCTCATCGTTCGAGGAAAGAAAAAGAAATTAAGGAAAGTAGATCGTGAATATTCACGTGCTTCGTTCGTTCGTCTTATTGAACATGTACAGTTTTAAAATAACAATTACCTACTACTATTCTATTTATTACTATTTCGACATGTATAAGAAAATTGATTTCAATCTAATTTATACCGTTATATTAATGATACTAATACACGTATATTAAAATTTGGTGGAATTATCTTTCAAGTTCAGATATTTATCAAAAAAAGTGAAATAGTTATTGCGTATTAAATTACAATATGAATGAAATTAAATAACGAACTTCAGTAACGAATACGATAGACAATTATTATTTTTTAACTTTTTATCGAACAAAATTTCTTTTCAATTGCAATTATAATTGCCGTTTCAAAAATTTCATTATTTCAGTAGCACAAGCATGATTCATTATTTTGAAGTCAACTAAAAGGCCTCTTCCTTGTACAAATGTACAAAACTCTACTCTTTTATTCTTTACTAGACATACGCGAGAAGTCGAAAATATTGGAAACTCGATACTTACAACGAATTTGGAAAAAGATTTAGAAAGTATTTCGTAGTTCGAATATTTCGGGATTCCAAAGAGAACTTTGGGATTTTTGAAAATATTAGAAATTTGATGAATTGAATAAGATTTTGGGACTACATTCGTCCACAAATTAAAATAATAATCATGAGAAATACTTTGAAGATCCTGAGATGAATTCTTCGCGCGTCTCGATTCAACATTTTCGGGTTCTCGCATGCCTCTAGCTGTCGCATATCGCGTTTTAAAGAATATGTTAACCTTTGAAATTTATAAAAATAGCAAAATCATTAACGAACTATAATTTCCAAGCCTTGTTAATATAATACTATATAATATAATATTCGAAATCTAATTTATTTAATTTATAAATTGTTTTGTTGTCTAATTTTTTTCAAAATATTTATTAGATATTTTATTTCGCATTCCGTAACTATCATTATTATTTTGTAACATACTTATTCGAACGAATAAGTTAGAAACTCGTTATGATCGTATAATAAAAAATTAAGAAAATGGGAATTATTTAATGAGTGAATTTAGATATCCCTGGCAAAAGCTATTCAATTTATAGCATATCGTAAAAAGTTATAAGGGTTATGTGCGTTCTCTGATAAAAATCTTCTTTAAAAACATGGTAAGAGTGACCTACTTCACAAGTTTATAATCACAGAACGACTAATTGTAATTGCCTATTAGTTAGTATTAGTTGACGAATGGAAACGTTATCAGACTATATAGTGTAAATCGTTATATATTAGCATAAATAAGTTCAAGGCCCATGCGCAGTGCCAATGATGCATTAATTTTTCTATGACACGAGTTTGTCAATCTTCGCTTGTAATCTTTATAAATATGTTCAAAGTATGATACATATATAGAATAAATAAAATTAATCCATACTGAAGACTCCATATTGAAGAAATAAATATTTCTTTTTTTTTTTTTTACAATATTTTATTGTGCATATAATAAATTATTTGAATTACATGATCAATTATAAAATACGAATGGAAATAAATTAATATTTGATCGCTTTTTTCATATCTTTGATGTTCTTTTAATTGTACCTATCGTTTTATTTTTTATCAATGATTCCTTAAAATCGTAATTATTTTTTTACAATACGATATATAATAATTCTTAATAACGTATGCGTATAATAGAAAAATACATGGCATAAAAATATCGCGCATCTTATAGAAATTTTTTAACGGAAATAATTTTTCATCGGAAAGATGATTCTTCGTTACAAATGAAAAAAGATTTCATTCGCAGTATAGTCGTAAATACATACAATAATAATAACCATACAAGTTATTCTTTCTTCATTTCATATTTATTGCTCATTGCTTTATGTATTCTCGATAATTTTAAAGTTATATATTTATAATTAAATTCATCTCTTCTTTGTCGTCCAGATGTATCTCCATATGGTCTTTATTTATACAGACGTAACAAGAATATTTCTAGGTGTTCTCAATCTATAATTACATAATAAAAGATATTATAATTTAGATAGATTATAATTTTCAATTTTTATAATGTTTATAAAATATGTCCATAAAGGTACCTACCGAAACCATCTATTTTTTTTACAAGGGAATATTTAAATCTCGATGAAAATCTTTTTTACGTGTTGATAATCTAATATATAGTATATGTATAATCCGGAAGATATATATGATAATTGGATAAATCTGAAATATTTATACTATCCGAAATATTTTTTTCTTCGTTCGCATCATCATAGTCGCTTTCCATTATATCGGAAACTATTTGTTGTCGATTCCATTCATCGTTCGTTTCGTTTTGATTTACATCTTTGTTATCTTTGTTAGAATTTTCGACGAAAATTATCTTTTCTTCCGACTTTTCTCCCGTATTATCAACATCCATGTGCGATTCCGATGTAAAAACTTCTCTATTTTCGTCTGTAAATTCTTTGTTCAACCATTCCATGGATACCTTAAAATCTTGCAATTTGTGATTGTCCTCGGTAGTAGAATTGTCCGAGACCGATATATTTCTCATAGCATTTTCAAAGATCAACGAGAAAATCGAATAAATTTCTAAATTCCTTTGTGCGTCGTGTCGTATTTCTTTCTCGCTTCTTTCCGACGATTCGTTCGTCCACGAATCCGATGAATCTTTATCATATTTTGTCGATTCGTCGATTTTTAAATTTTCTTTAAATTCCTTTTCCGTTGAATTTAAATTATCATTCTTGATCACAACGAAAGATTCATCTTCTAATACGCTCTTCTTATCGTTATTTATTACCAATAAGTCATCTTCCACGTTTTGCAAATTATCTTCCGCTGCATTGATATTCGCATCGGTTTCGTTATCGATGTTTGAAATTTCCGTCAGTTTTAAGATATTTTTCGTTGAAATATTATCGTTCGATTTATTGAGTTGTTCAACCTCGTTTATTATATATTTATCACGCGTAAAACTAAATAGATTTTCCAATTCTGTTTTTGGAATATTATTTATGGCGTTGACTTCCATCGATTCGATATGACAATTTTCCCACATTGTGTAACAACCCCATCCAATGCAGAACAATATTTCCAATAAGAGAATTAATTTCACGCATTCTATTATTCGTTTTAAAGTATTGTTCATTTCAATATATTTCATGCATGAAGTTTTCCCATTCTCGACAAGTCCTTCTTCCATGCTTATGAATTCTACGATAACCGAAATAAAACGATCGAATTATTGTATTTCGGTTCAAACTATTTAATAATTAACTATATAATAATATTTATCGCTATTTTTACACGTTCATTTTATAAATAACTCATTCAGAAAATCAAAAGTCTTTATAATTTTACACTTTTAATGAAGAATAACGTTATATTTTTTTTTCTTTCAAATTTTCACTTGAACAGTTGAAATGAAATTTTTAAATCCCGATCTAAAATCATCTTAAATGTTCGATTTAGATTCTCCTATTTCCATTATTACGTTTATATACACATATTACATTTATGACTGGTTCAAAATAATTCAAAGTTAAATCTTTCAAAATATTTTAGTAATTTTTTATAAATATTTTCATTTTTCAAAAATGGAAATGAGAATTATTTAAAAAGAAAACAGAAACACGGAATGTATAAAATATTACGTTTTGCGTACTAGGAAATTTATATCTATATATATATATATATACGCATAAAATAAACTCACCCTTATTGACTCTACAGATCCCGACTTCCTTCATGATGAACGATCAGTTAGAAACTAACCATTGAGGAAGGAAAAACGTTAAATGGTAAACATAAAAATACAAATTAACCTTGACCTGGCAAAGTTTAATGAAAAGAGAAATAAAATTTACGATAAAAGTTATTCTCCTACCACGAATTTCATGTTAGAGAAAAATGTTCACAGGTCAAACTATATCTTCCTCGGGTCGCGCACAATCATTCTATGCTTGTTAATATCAACAAAGAAACCTGTTTGATTGCTTCTTTCTTCGAACATACATTTCCTCGAAAAAAAAAAAAAGAAAAAATAAATAAAAGGAAATTTGTAATCAATACGATCCAATATCTTTGCCGATACGTATTAAAAATTATACAACAATATAATATTTTACGCGCAATATGATAGACATGTTCGAGGCGCGAATAATTTTATAGTAATTTTATAATAATTCGTAATTTTTGTTTTTATCGAGTAATGAATATGACAAATGAATAATAATTCAAAAACAAAACCTACCATTTTTGAAACGCCATTAAAACGGTAATTGCCATGGTATGTTAACGGAAATTGGAATCGTAACTAAATCCGAATGTTTCATCGGATTAAATCATCGGTGAAAAAACGTAAAAAAATAAAAAAATGAAAAAGAAAGAAAACGAAAAAACGGATAACAATCCATAGTATAGGAATAGATACATATATAACAACAGCCAAAGATGCTAAATTAAATATTTCTCTGCTATTCTGAAAATGAGCAATGATCATCAATTTTTGTTATTTAATTTTTTAACTTTGTAGTTTATTTGAAATCGCATAATACGTTTATAATATCAAGAGAAATTGTGTAGTGCGCGTTTCTTGGAAAAAAGTGATATGTAAGCCAATAAAAATGTTTCTGATTACTAAATTTTTCTTTCAGATTAAATTGCAAAAATCTTGGAGAATGTTATCTGGATTATAACGATGGTCGCTGGGCATGCGATTACATTCGAGTAAAAGATGCAGTGTGTAAAAGAAATATTGTGTGTAAAGAATGCACCGTGCTAAGCAACTTTGATACGTGAAGATTTTCGAGAATACAATAAAACAAAGAGTTGAAGCTTTAACTGGTACTTTTTTTGAACAGCACATAAAATGCGGTAAAGTATATATATGCTCACTATTACTTTTCGACTGCACGCATATCGCTTCTTTTGCGATTTTTACGATTGCAAAATGTGATAAAATATATCCGCATCGTAATTCATTTGAAACAAATATTTCTCCTAGAAGATATGTATTTGATGAGATTTTACGCTTGAAATATCTTCATTTGTATATTTCTAAAAGTTTTATACGCGAATGCTTTCTTTCTTTCTCTTATTTTATAAATATATATAT